TGGAGGACGCGGGATGATGCTGGTCTGTGCCTTGGTATCCTGGTGTCAGGAACAGGGGCAGCCAAATGTTGTGCAAACATCCTTCTTAGCCTTTGGATGAGCAATTAAACCAGGAGGCTTATCTGGTGACAGTCCTCCTGCGGTGACGTCACTGCTCCCCGTGGCCCCTGCTGAAGGCCAACCGTGTGCATTCCCGCGGCTGAGAGGCTTCAGCAGCCCTCTGTCCTCGGGGACTGAGACTGTGTACACGTCCTGCAGCCTTTTCTCCCGCGTCCTCAGAAGGAGAGGCTGGATGTGAAATGTGTTCAATGTAGATTGCGTTGGCCAGCACCCTGCACCCTTCTCCAGCCACGCAGACTCCGGGGTGCTTTCCTCTGCTGTCTTCAGTGGCCAGCTTCTCCGCGGGGGTGGGGGGGGGGATGAGGGAGGGACCTGTGAAAGTGACAGAAATGAGACACTACGTGGAGGGGCAAAGCGTCCTCTCTCTACTGAGTTCTCTCGTTCCTTCGTCCCCAAACCCCATCTCCCTACTCGTTGATCCCTGTATTGCTCTCTTACTATGCAAGGCATCAAACCTGCTCGTGGGATTCACTGAGGTGCACAGTATCCAACAACCAAAATGCCTGGGGCCAGAAATGTGTCCGTTCAAAGGAACTTTTATTTTGGGCATAAGTGATTTGCCTTTTTTTTTTTTTTTTTTTTTTTGAGAGAGAGAAAATCCGGAGTTTACAGACCACAATGAAAGGGCGGGGCGGGGACTGGCCTTTAAGACAGAAACCTGTCACTGCCTCTAACTGGGCTCTAGCTGCCTGTAAAGGTGTGCAGAGGAAGCCGCTCTCTACCCATCCTTGGTCGCACAGTCCCGTCCTTACCTGGCCTGACTCTCAGTAAATGTTCCTCATCTAACCTGAATCTCCCACACTGAGCGCCACACCAACTCACTTCCTCTTGCTCAGCAGCAGCAGGAGAGCCAGGGAATAAGGTCTGGCCACCCTTCCTTCTGTAGCTGAAGACAGTCAACAACACTGCTCTCAAGGTGTCCCTCTCGTTGCTGTCAGTACCTCCCACGTCCCCGACAGCACCAAGCCCCACTGCCCGTCTGCCCACTGCCGGCTTCTTTCCCTTGCCCCTGGGCCAGACCTCACTCTGCCCATTTGGAACGTGGCACCGGAACTGGAGGGCATATTCCCCCGTCTGCGCTCTTAGGAAATGCCTGCCCAGGCCTCCCCGGGCAGGTGCGGTGGTGGGGCCTGCCCTTTACCGCTCTCGCTCGCTCAGATGTGCGCCCAGCAGACAGCAAGCGTCACAGCAGCTGTCTCTCACTTACCTTTCCTCCTGGAAGTTTCAGCTGAACAATGGCCTGTGCGGTTTGTGGGTCTCCAGAAGTAATAGACAGGTGTTAGGTGTCTTGTGTCGGTAGAAAAGGGAGCCTGAACCACCGAGAACAAACAACAGCTGCTTGGTAATATGAGCTCCTTGCATTTAAAGCCAGAGGCCTGGCAAAGGGTGGGGAAGGGGACACCAGCTTGTGCTGCCGCCACGTGCCTGGGAGGCCAGAGCTGAGGTCAGTCTCCCCGAGAACCACAGAGTCGGCTGAGAGGGCTGAGAGCCAGATGTGGGAGACAGGTGGGGAGGGAGAGGCGTGGAGAGGACCCCAGGGGCTGAGGTCTGAAGCACGTCGTGGACCCTAGATGCTCTGGGAAATGGGTTTTCAAAACTTCCCCCTTCCATTTTCACGGTAAAAAAACTGACATGTTGTTTCGTGATCTATCCGACTAAAATCTGGGCTGTAAAAATGCTGGGGCTACCAGGGACCTGCTTTCCAAGAGCTCATGCGTTTGTTAAGATTTGGGGGAGCTTCTAAGGGGCTTCAGAAGACCTGGGTTCAAGTTCTGACTTTGTCTTTGAGAGCTGTTATTGTTATTTATCCCTATCCTTGGATGAAGTTCTATCTTACTCCTAGGTTGCTGGGAAGATAAAATATTATGTGGGAAAGCCATTTACAAAAGTGTAAAGATTATTATACCAAACATACAGGACACTGGAGAGAGTCAAAGGAAGGAGAAACGTGGTTCTTCCCTTAAGGTGCTTTTAGTCTGAACAGCAGTGATGGCTCACAGTCGCAGGACATTCCACTTTCCAGAGCGGTGTCCCTTGTCTCATCTGACTGGACAGTGCCATAGTAAAAAGTAAACAGAAACAGCTGGGGCGGCGGGGGGTGGGGTGGGGTGGGTGGGCAGAGGATGCGTTCTGAACAGGGTTTTAATGGATGAAAAAGTTAGGGCAGGAAGCAAAGAGGGCCCCGCAGGTGGAAGCGAGCAAGCGCAGTGGGAGAGACTTGAGGTGCTCTGGGTGCAGCCTCTCAGCCAAGGGAAGGCATTTCCGGTTCAGTGCGGGGGAGGTTTTTCCTCCGGCCAGCAGAAAGGCAAATGACCATTCTCAACTCCCGCTGTGCCCAAGGCTTTCATGAAATCTATAGGACTTTAGATTTTAGGTCTGGAGTCTATTGAGGGTGGACAGAGTGGCTGAAGTGTGTAGGAGGAGGGAGCTGGTACCGTTGTTCCTGTAAGATACATACATTTAAATCCAGAGTGCTGGCCATGGACTCACTGGGGTGCTCCCCCAGAACCTCCCTTTCCCCAAAATACCCTTCCAATCGTTCGGCCCCTCTGTTGTGGACCCTTGTGTTTTGTTTGTTTGTTTTCGGCTTCCAAGTGAATGGTAGTAGCCCAGCTTCCCTTCTCTCCTTAAATACCTGAGACCCCAGTCTCCTCAAGAGGTAGGTTCCTTGAACTGGGCAGTTATCAGATCCCTTCAAAGCGCTTGTCCTTGGAGGAAACCCAAGGCATTGCACAAATCTGTGGTGCCTTGGTGTAGCTCCGGGTCTCAAAGTGTGGAGTTACAGCTCAGCGTCGTCATCGCTGGAGCCAGAGCCGGAGGAAGTGTCCTGCTTCTTGCCAGGCCTGACACCCGATGGGGAGGGGTTTCTCCTTTCTGTGCTACCTCCGGGAGTTAAAATAGAGTAACAGGAAACCACCCTCGAGTGAGCCAGTGGCCGGATGTGGAGACACAGAAATAAGATGGAGCTGATTCTCTGGGTCATCTATGGGTGGGCCTGGCCTTTGCTTCTTTGGCCGCAGTATCTCTCCCCCCTGAGCAAAAAGTACTCCCCTGTTTCCCGCTGCCTTCGGGAAGTTGTGCAATGTCACGGGGCCTTGAACTCCCCTCCGCGTGCCATTGCAGAGCACGATGGACCCAGGGCCACCTGTCACACTTGACGTCTTGCTGAACGGCAGGGACATATTTTCTTGCAGTGAGTTCTTGTGACCTTTAGGGATGTGATTTTCCCTTGGCTTTGGGACACTTGTGAAATGTTCCCATGAACTTCACGCTGGCAGAGAAAGTGGGCACCAACTCCCAACCAGAAAGGAGCTGGACTTACACAGGAACAGGGAAGATTAGTGTGGACTCAAGGGCGCATTCTTTTGTGTTCCACCTGGTCTCTGCGTGGGTTCTCATGTGCCCGGCTTTCTGCAGAGGGAAACGCGGAGAGCGGGCCAGGGAGCTGCTGCTCTGAAAACTGGGCCGAACGCTTTAGACGAAGGCTTGACAGAGCCCTCAATAGGGCGGGTCACTTCCAGAGCCACTCTCAGGTTGTTCCTGGGCCTAGGGAGCGAGCGGTCCGCACAGCTTGGGACACGGCAGGACTGGCCCGAACTTTCCAGGTCCCATGAATGAGGACATATCAGACGTTTTTGTGACCCGGTCCATGCCCCTTGCAGGTTGAAGCGGAAGTGAATCATCCCCCAGGAATGCAAAGGGCGCGCCCCCAGCTCCCCGGCCCCCCCAGGGCTTTGGGGGGTGCTGCGCCTCTGGGTGCGCACCCTCTAACTGGATTCTTTGCTCAGGACGGGGCTGTAGTGTTGCCGGCGTAGCTCAAGATGTGCAGGGATCCGTCCCTTTTCCTTCGCGCTCCTGCGCATTCTGCTTCTTGAGATCCTCTGTCTGTCCTTCCTTGGTATGTCATGTCTGCTGCCTCGGCTTACCCTACAGAGCTGTCCTCTCCTCAGCCTGTCATTTCGGAAGCAGCCTCCGGGAAACTGCTGCTCTCCCTTTGACTACGCCAGGCTTCCTCTGCCCTCACCCGCGCCCCAAGTAATTCAAAGAAATCACTTGCCTTAGGAGCAGGGAGCCAGCGGGAGAAGCCCCCCTCCCACCTAGTTTTCCCTCACGGGTGTCACGTGTGGCCTTGAAGAGTGAGGACTGAATCCCTTGGTTTCCCCCTTCTGCTGGCCCGCCCTCTTCCCCCAGGAAAATCCGGGAGTGAGATTAATGAGCGCTGCCTGGCCAACTGTCGCTGAGAGAAAGTTTGGTTTGTGATCCTATTTCATTAGGCTGATTGGAGCAGCCTTCAGCCGCAGGTAGAGTCCCTCCCGAGGGAGTCCACGTACAGTTACACTCGCTGTCACCGCCAGCGCCTGCCCTTTCTGGACAGATGTGACCTCCCCTCACCCCCTCTTCCCCCGCTCCTCCTCCTTCCTTATTTTTATCCAGCGTCTCGCTTCCTCTCTCTCTTTCCTTCTCCCACCTCTGCCTCTTCCCCTGCCCTCTGCCTCCCTGCAGCGCCACACCGGCCCCGCAACCAGGTCTGCCGCACGCAAACCGCCGAGAGCTGGCCGAGCCGCCTCCTGGGGCCCGGGCTGCCGAGTCCCGCTAACGCACCGACGCCAGCAGGCGAGCGAGAGCCGCGGAAGAAAAACAAGCGGGCGCGCGCGGGAGCCCCGGGAGGGCGGCCGGTGGCCGGCGGGCGCGGACGGCGGCGGACCGGCGCGCGCAAAAGTTAGACTCCGGCGGCCGCGCGCCTGGCCGCGCTGGTCCCGGCGCTCCGCGCCCGCGGCCCTTCGGAGAGGAGCTCGGTCTTCCTGCAGCTCGAGCCGCGAGCGGCGCCCAGCGCGAGAGGGCCGAGCGCGCCGGGCGAGCGGGGAGCAGAACGCGGCCGGCAAGAGCGCGGCGGCGACGCGGACCCATGCCGGCGGCCAACCTGATGGAGAACCTGCAGCTGCCCGCCTTGCAGGTGCCCGGGCCGCAGGGCGCGCCCGAGGGCAGCCCGGTCCGGTCCAGCTCGTCGACCCCCACGCTCCGCCGCCGGCGCTTCAAGATGCACCGCACGAAGAACGTGCACGAGCAGAGCCTAGAGGCCGGGCTGGCCCGGGACCTGCCGGGCGTCTTGGCCCCTGGCAAGGAGTTCCTGCAGCTGCCGGCCATCGAGATCACGCCCTCCAGCGACGAGGACACCCCATGGTCCAACTGCTCGACACCCAGCGCTTCCCCGCGCCGAAAACGCTTCCTCCTCCGCAAGTGGCTGAGGGTGAGGGAGCGGAAGGAGTGCAGTGAAAGCAGGTAGGTCTCTGTTCTGCCCCGGCCATTGTGCCCAGCCTTCTCCCTCTCCCCAGATCCCCAGGGCCGTCGGGGGCCGCCAGGGCACCCCAGCGGAAACTCGGGAGGAGCGCAGAAGCCCTTCGCCCCAGTACGCTACAGGCACCGAGGCGCCTGGCACGGGGTTAGTGGCACTTCAGTTTCCTGGCAACCCAGGGCGAGGGGCCAGTGACTTTAATAAAGTAAGAACATCTTACACATTGGCCAGGGGCTTCACACGCATTTCCTCTCTGATCCTACTGCACAATGAATAATAAAAACCATACCAGGTAATAGTTTTTGCTCCCCTGTCATGTGCCAGTCATAAGTGAGCACTTCACTGTCTAGCTCTAAATATAATCCTTGCAAAAACTCTTTAAGGTGGGCACTAGTGCTGTTTCCACTTTACAGGGGGAGATAGCGGAAGGGGAGAGACGCTAAGGGGCTTTGCCACTTAGACTTAGATTTCTAAATACTCCATTTCAATTTTTGTTATTTTATTTTTGGCAGCACCAGGTTGCCTCTTCTGAATCTGGAGGCCCGCAATTTTTTGGCCTGGGTAAAGGCGGCATTTGAATAGTGCGGGAAGTTCGCTTTCCCTATATGGAGAACCGGTGTAGAAAACCATGGGCAGCTCTACGCAGCCTGGGCCAGGAGTGGTGTTGGAGCCAAGGGCATGGCCTTGTGGAGAACCTCATCCATTTATGTTGAGACTGTAGGACCCTGTCCCTTAACAGCGGTTCATGCCCTTGGGTGGGCGGGTAACTGAGCAACTGGCCACCTTCCTTGGGGCTTCTCCTCCCCAATCTGATCAATCTCATTCACTTCAACTCAACAAGTACTTGCTGAATGTTCTTGGGAGCCCAGCCTGGTACCAGCTCATGGTGACTGTTGGGGGCGGGGAGATGGGACTGGATAGAATGAGGGGATGGGGAAGTTGAGAGGAGGGATGGGAGGTGACTTGGACCCGAAATTAAGATGTGAGTTTCACTGATACTGAAGTGATGGAACCACTGGAAGACAGTCTCTGTGTCACGTGGCACTGACTGTGCGAGAAAAGGGGAGACAGGCTGTGGAAGGAAGAGACTCAGACCGTTCCGAACCCAGACAGATAGCACAAGCCAGGAGGCGAAGTGTGAGGTCAGGCCCCATCCGGAGAGGGAGGCACTCCAGACAAAGGCCTAAGAGCAGGGCAAGCCAAAAAATATAAAAATAAAAAATAAAAAATATGAATAATAAAATGGCAATAAATACATATCTATCAGCAAATGGATCCAGAAAACAAAATAAATGAACACGCAGAGCAGAAACAGACTCAGAGATACAGAGAACATTCAGACAGTTGCGGGGCGCGGGGGTTGGGAGTGCAAATTCGTGGTTGGAGGGAGCCGCCGGCTGAGAAGCGCAGCGCAGGGACTAGTCAGCGCTGTTCTAACAACTCTGCACGGTGCCAGGCGGGCGCGAGATGTATTGAGATGGTCCCTTAGTAAGTTATTTAATATCTCATCACTGGGGTATACGTGTGAAACTAATACAAATTGCATGTGAACTGTAATTTTAAAAAATGAAAAATAATAATAACGTACTAAAAAAGAACAGGGAGAGCCTTCTGTCTCTGGGAGATGGTGTGGGAACCGCCGGGTCACACCGAGGATGGATGGGTATCCTGAGCCTCCCCAGGGTCGCCCTTTTCCTGGGCATGGCCACTGGTGCGGTTGTCACCGCAGGCGCAGGGGGAGAGCTTTGTGCTGGGGCTCGTGCGGACCTGGGAGAACAACCCTTTTTGCCCCCGTTGTATGTCCTGCTGCCTTTCCGTGGCGCAGAGGGAAACAGACACTTGTGGTGGGAGCTAATCTTAAAATGAAATAGTTCAGTATGGTTTGTGGGCTTTCTCTTGCAAGGAGAGACACCCCAAAAGAGACCCCGTTTTGATCTTGAGATTCTGTCACGCAGGCTGAGGACAAAATATGGGGAAAGGAGTCCTGCGTTGCTGGCCAGTGTGGGAGGGGTGGATTTGGTTAGATTTAAGGAAGACTTCCCTGGTTTTGAGAATTGTCTAAGGGTGCAGTGGAACCTTCATTTTTGTTGGAGTAGGGAACATACTCTTAAAAAAATCAGGAAGGATTTAAGACAGCTCTGTTCAATGGTGGCTTGTTGCATTAGAAGAATATATACATATTTGTATAAAAAGGCAGACTCCAGATTCAAGCCCAAATTTGTGCTACTCCAATCTCTGCTCTTAACCACAGTTGTACTGCCTCCTGTTGGAGTCTGTCTGGATTGTGGCTAAAACAAAACCCCATCACTGTTAGTCCCAGAATGGAAACGGAAGGCTCCTTGGAAAGAAAAGAAGCAACCAAGTGTAGGTGCCCAACAAGATTCCCTGAGAGGGAGGCGGCATTCAGAGGCATTAGAATACAAAGAATATTGGTGTTAAAACCAGGAGGCTTAGATTTACATTTGAGCTCCATCACTGATTAGCTGTGGAGTCTTGGGCCTCTCACATGAACTCTGTGTGTCTCACCTCCTCCGTCTGTGGAAGGGACCCCTGTGGGTTAATGGGAGGCCTTAAGAGTAATACACGTGAAAATGCTTTGTAACTTCCCCCTGCTGTGCAGGGGCGAAGGCCCGGTGCCCCCCTTCTGAGCGTCTCACATGAGTGGGTGTATGCTTGAGAGAAGGAAGTTACATACTCTCTGGGGCCTGGAGTCCCACCTGGGGCTGCTCGCACGAGGCAGGGCTTGGGCCCAGCGACTGGAAAGTGACTGCTGTGGCTGGGATGAGGGGCATCCAGCACACCAGCCCCAGCATGACACCTTCACATTCCCACCCCGGCCGGTCCCCACACGCACAGAAACGCACCCAGAAAAGCACATTAGGCCTGCCCTGCATTCTCTCTGATGTGGTAGAAGGCAGGGGGCTGGGGTGGGGGGCGGGCAGGGGGAGGGTGCTTGCGGATTTTAACCGCTAAGCTGAAAATACGATGAGGAACCGGAGTCCCCTTCTCCCCAGCCCTGGGGAGGAGGGAGTGGAGAAAATGGGGATGTATTGGCATGGTTTGGGGTCCGAGGACCAGGAGTTTAGCACAGAAATATACCAGGTCCAATTTTGTCTGGCTCATCTTTGTATCTTCACGCCAGGCACTGTGCTTGGCCTTTCATAGGATCCCCAGATACCTGCTGATGAATACAATACTAGTAAGTGAATGAATGATTCCTTTTTCCTTACTGTTTGGAATGGCATTCTCTTTATTCATGAGTCAGGGAAATTTCCTTGAGGGAATGGGTCCAGAGCTGAGGTTTTTGTTTTGTTTTGTTTTTAAATTGAGATACAATTTACATACCATGCAATTCGCTCATTTTTACATTGTGCAATTCAGTGGTTTTTGTTACATTCACAAATATGTGCAGCTATTACCACGGTGAATCTTAGAACGTTTTCATGACCTTGAGAACAAACATGGACCCTTTATATATTACCCTTAATCCCCATATTCCTCATCCCTCCAGCCCTAAGCGACCTGGACCCTACTTTCTGTGGAGGCTGTTGGAATAGGGACCACAGCCTGTTGCTGAAGGCAGTTTGGGAGTGTTAGCTTTAAGGTGAGGATGGATGGCCAAGTGTGGCCTTGATGAGGGTGTGGAAAAGTGAGGGTGGGGAGGCAATGGGCCGGCAAACTGATTTATGCGAAGAGTTTGAATTTCAATGAATCAGCCAGCCTACAAAGATGTGTTGAGATTCTATAGACAGGATGCTTTATACACAGAGGATTTGACTCAATAGGGAACCATTGGAGGTTCTGAACCCTGGGAGGCACCTAATCTGAGCTCATTCTTGCTGTTCAGTGTGAACGGGGTGGTGAGGTGGAGGCCAGAGCCTTGCACGTCGTCCTTCCAGGGGTCCAGCATTTGACCTAGGATGGCTCCGGGTTGCTGTGCGCGCCCGGTTGCCCGCCGAGCTCTCTGCATGACGCAGCTGAAGTTGGTGAGGCAAGCTCTGAGAATGCACGCCGCGCGTCTCCCAAAGCCCAGTGACCGCAGCTGCCTGTGGGCATTGTTCAAAACCCAGCGTGAGCATCAGAGCCCTTCTCTGACCTGCTGGGTGATGGCCAGGTCAGAAATTCGGTGGAGCCACGTCGTCCAGGATGGCACCCTGTCGTTCCCTGGAGAGGAAGGGGAGCTGGCCAGGGCCCGGTAAGCAGGCGAGGGTGGCCGACTGAGGCACAGAAGCGCTTCTCCGCCCCTCGCTCCCCGGGCCGCCCTCTTTAGTGTCGCCATGTGCACCATCGTGCCCTCGGAGGCTCTGTCCCCTCTTCTGTCTGACATACCTACTAGCTGTGGCTGCTCACAGTCCAGCCGGCTGGCAGCCAGAGTCTTGTCGCCCTGGGGTCTCTGGGATTTTGCTCAGCTGCCCCCTGACCCCGGGCGCAGCCTCTCACAGATTCTGCCCGGCCTGGATGGCCATGGTACCTACGTGGTGCCAGCCTAGCTGGAGTGTGGGTTTGCCGGTGAGGAGTGCACGTTGCTGGTATGTTTATCTTGATTCTTCAACCCCTTCCTCTTACCTTTAGGGCTTGTCTCTCTTCTGGTTTCAGTTCGGGTTTCCGGGGGGCGGGTAATCCAAATGCTCCACCCCTCAGCTCTGTGCACAGGGGCCTGGTCTGAGAAACATGGGGAGTGTGGGAGAGAAAAACTCTTAACACAAAACATCAAACCAGTGCACAGGAAACATCAAACAGACGCACCGGAAACCAGCAATGTGTCAGCAGATTAAGTCATTAATGAGAACTAGATTAGGCGAAACTAGAGAAATGTCCACCAGACCTATAGTTCCTTGAGGGTGGGGACTGCCTCACTTTGTGCCAAGTTCTGCTTAGCTCCTTGAACGCACAATCCTGTTGTATCCTCAAAACAACCCCCCAGGTGAGGTTTAGGGCCGAGGATCCTGAGGTTCAGAGGTTAACTTGCTCCTGCTGAACAGAAGTG